ATCTCTATTCAGTAAAGCACCTAGTCCTATACAATCCAGTGGGATTTAAGCACTTTCTTAAATGCTTTGTTGGCTAGGAATCAATTTGAAATCCACTTCAGCCGTTTTTTTGTTTAGCAAGTTCAGAGTTAAATTCAAAGTTACCATTAAAGTAAAAATTAACATCTTGCCTAAGAGAAAATATGTTTAATCAATAGTTTTGCTGTTACTGAGTATGTTCATATATCCAAAGATAAACACGCAACAGTAGCTTTAATTTCACACTTGTTCTTTTTTTTTTTTGTTTACTAACTATGCCTTTGCTGATAGTATGGCTGTAGTCCTGGTGAATCTAGAGGCATAGGTTTTCAACCTTTTTTTTTTTAAATTGCAGATTCTAATGTTTTCCAGTGAAGAGATGGACCCATCAGTATCAAATACAAGCCTGATGACAATAAGCTTGTTTTTCTTAATTAACTTGTACAATCTGCTTAGATACAGTCTACAGATCTTCCTAGAGCTTTCCAGACTGCTGATCTAATGAGAAGAGGAGCAAGGCTGTAAGGCTCAATCAGTGGTCTAATAACAGATATTGCATCTTCTTTCAAAACTTCTCTCTCTTACTCATTTTATCGTATTCTGAAAACAAAGCAATTGTACTTAGAAAAATAACATTCTGTAATTTCTTTGATAAAAATATCATTAGGCATTTTAATTGAAACAGAGATGCCATATTACAAATGCTATTATTTTAAAAGAAATGCTTTTAAAAAGATTTAAAAGAAAACTGTTAACCTGGATACTTCCACTCTCCTCCCCAATATGAGGCTTCCCCCAAAAGTAATCCAAAACCATATTTTTATTTTGTTTTGCTTTTTATCTGTGTCTCTGTTCCTTGTGTTAATCTCTGAAGATTTGGCCACAGCTGAATGGAGCTGTTTGGAATACAGATGACTGATGTTTTTTAACTCTTTTGAACACATACTTTTTTGCCTCAAATAACGTTTTCAAGATAGGCTTTTATTTAGCATCAGGCACGTCTTGCAAAACACAAAAAAGATGCTGATTTGTCTTTCACTGAAAGGTGTTTGAAGAAGGAGCAATAAATTTGGTAGCACAATGGGGACAAAAGCCTGAGAAACCTTGTATTAAAGATAATTTTATATTATAGATAACTTACATCTTCTAAAAATAAGTTTTGTTTAAAATTAGATGTTCATTCTTATTACTGAAATGATTTCCCTGCTCCTCCAAAAATGGTGCAGATTTGGTTTTAGCTCTTCAGTTAATGCTAATTGATCTAGAGGCTGGGATTAAAAGCTCTAAAGCTCAGGTACCTCTAAAACCAGTCTATACTTCTAGGTTCTTGTCCACTCTCTGTGCATTACAACCTTCCCTGCACAGTACTGGCAACGCTCCTCCCCTTTTTTAGTGGTGTAACATACTGCAGAAGTCCTTCCCTAAGGACAAAATCTGCTAATATTTTTCTGGTTCTTGGACAGTGGCATGCTATTCCACTACAGTACAGCCGTCACTTATCATGCCCTAGCTGCTCTGGTCACCACAAAGTATCAAACTTCAAGGTTCTTTTTTTCCACTTGAACACTGTAAATCATCTGAGAAAGATGTCATGTCTAGAAGGTGGCTTCCTAAGAGAAAGGAGAGTATAGGAATAAGAGTTTCTCTGAAACAGGAGGGAAGGATCAGTGAATATGATCTCTGTCTAATCTGTGTGATAAATCCTAACATCCTACTCAGTTTTTAATCAAAGCACTTTCTGAAATCAGTGGGTGTTTTCCCTGAGTTGAGCTCTAGATAAACGTTTGAGTGTTTCAGGACTTGTGTCATTCATGCTTTTGTGATTCATTCTGCTCTTATTTTTTTTCTTAAGCATATCAAGGCACAAGTCCTGCCTGTTAGATATCTGATGATAGAAGAAGTCACTGTTAACGAAGAAACATAAAAGTAGCAACTTTTCCCATCTTCAGAGTATTGGCAGTGGTCAATTTATATTTTCAGAGCTCAAGATATGCACTAAGTCTCATTTCACGCTTTCCAATATTAAATAAGTGCTGTTTATGTTTGTTTCACAGATGCTAGAAACAGCAGATGACAATGAATTAATTTGTAACAAGCTGCCCACTAATCATAAATCAAAAGGGTTTGCATCTTGTTTCATGGGTTTCTTGATGACACTTATTTTACTTAGCATTGTGACTCTACGTGCCCACTAAATCTGACAAAAAATTATTGTTCTAGAAGGAAAAATTTACTGCAGAGCAACACCTCTTTCTTTAAAAATAAACCCAAAAAACAAGAACCAAAACACTCCATCTGCCCCCACCTCCAGCTTCCCCCCCTCCCCCCTTATTTTTAATCTGCTCAGCCTCTGAAATGGATGAGGTGATTAGCTGGAATTTGGCTTTGAAATTCCTCTCTGCTGTGGATAAGAATCTTTCAGAGTTTCAATGTAGATAGTTCGTTTCACTATGACAAAGCAAGGAGCTTTTGGAAATTCAATATTGTGAGTGTGACAGTATAAAAGGTTTTTGTTGTTGTTTTGTTTTGTTTTTTAACCCAGCAGTCTGGTAGAATTAATTTCTTCATGACTTTATTGGTCATCAACTAAAGTAGCATATAAAACCCTTCTTTCTGTAGGTAACCCGAATCCCTTCTTTTCTCTGGAGAATCCATCCCTCATGTCACCCTTCAGAAGTCTATTTTGGTGTGGGAATAAGGAAAGCAGAGAATCTTTGTTCTTCTGAGGTCTTGTTTAAAGGCTGCATCATATGAGGGTTTAAAACTGTTGTCATGGAGGAAAAATGCACACTAGAACACTTGGTATCTCATCTAAATGAAGGATACTGCAGCCTGCTGTAAGATTTGAGGGAGTTTTTTACATCGCACTCTATGTATTTTGTGTTGCTATTGAATTATTCTGAGTATTCAGTAAGATCAAGTGGTCACTGCAAACTGGTTTGTCTTTGAAGCTGATCCAGCTGTACCAGTTTCTGTCATCTATGAATATGTCCTATGGTGATATGTCCTATGGTTTCATGTCCTCAAAAAATCCTGTAACTCTGTCTCTTATATTTCAAGCTGAATGGGAAAAACCTTTTGATCCAAAATACACTAAAAAGAACAAATTCTTTGTGGATGGGAACAAGGCTGTTGAAGTCCCGATGATGTATGGAATGGGCCTGTTCAAGCATGGCTATGATGAACAGCTGTCTTCCACCGTGGTGCAAATGGATTACAAAGGAGGTGCTTCAGCATTTTTTATTCTACCTGATCAAGGAAGAATGAGGAAACTGGAGAAAAGATTGTCTTGTGAACGTATATCAAGATGGAGGACATTAGTCTCAAAAAGGTAAAATGCTGCAGTTCTTGGTTCAGATGGCAGGCAAGGAGACACATTCGTTTGAATCTGCTGGGCTATGACACAGAATCAGGATACTATTCTTAGTTCTGTTTTAATCTACAGAAGAATTCACACTGACCAAAGTTGAAATCTGGCTCTCTGGTGTCCCTGTGTTTTCACATTTAGTACTGCACAAAGTGCAAAACTTCACAGCTTTAGGACTTTTGCCATTTCCACATTTGTTTCCCATCTTCAACTCTCCATGGCTCCCAGTTTTCTGTCTTAAGACCTCTTCTCACTTTTTTGGAGGAGGCCTTCTGCCTTCTCCTATTTATAAGTAAATTCTTACCACTTTTCTTCAGCCTTTTTTCTTGTATCTTGCTTCCTTTCTGCCTATTACTGTTACAAATACTTGCACATTCAATGCTGAAATAACAGCTTTCTTTTGACAATTGTGAGGACAAATCTCAATAATGAGAGTATAGAGCAGCTGGCACATTGCAGAGTCACTATATTTGGGCTCTCTTACTACTTAGGAAGGCAAAATTGGAATAAGTTGCACTTGCTTCAAGGTAACTTTGAGACTAGAAAGCAGAAAGGTTATATGCTTTCTAAAAACAACTTTAGACTCCTTCCATTTAGTATCATGTCTACTAGCAGCCTTTCATGGGACAAAATACATTTACCAGCATAAGCACAACATGTTTACAGAATCGAGCTCCTGTGTTCATTCATGAATCTGATGTGTCATGTTAGAGACCACACATAGTCATTTGAAAATCGTATTTTAGATTATCAGTTCTCAAGACAAAAATGCTATCCTGTTACAGAAAACCAAAACCAGTGTTACGCTCTTAACTCTGATTCACTGTTAAATCTTATCAAAAGAATCTGTTTGGGTTTTTTTCGTTTAAAAAAAGACAGAAAAAAGTATGTAATTCTCTGTGCACCTTCACAGTTTTGAAACTTCTGGGAGCAGCTATGTGGTTTGTGACTAAACTCACTATAGGACAAATAAGATGGTAAATCAAGATGGTTTTGAACGATTTTTGTCAAAGAAACACAATTACCTTTAAAATCATCAAGAAAGACACTAAATACAATTGGGGGGATTTATATTTTCTCTCTCTGTCCTCCCCCTGCTCCCCAAACTGGAATAATTACCTAAAAGCCATGAATGGGAGATGTATATGTTATAATATAAAAAGACATCACTGTCAAAGACAAGCTTGCTTCATACAGCTCTCCATTTTTCATCGTGACATTTCTCTCCTGCAATATAATGACACAAACTCCCCCTTTTCCCTCTAGTTTTCAAAGAAACTGATTGCCTTTGCTATTATTTGGAGCCTCTGGGAGGTCTTACTAAATGGATTTAATGTAGGATGTGGCATGATTTAAGGACTGAGGGCAAGCTATGCTTGTCCATGTTTCTCTGTCTGCAAACTGATGCTGACACAAGTTGCAGAAGCATTGTGAGCAACATTTTTCATTACTATTGGCTGCTGAAAGGGGATAGTGCCAAGGTACTGCCAGCACAGGTAGCTGAGATCTATTTAATGACTGAACAGTGGAGAAAACATCACTTTCTTTTCTGGAAAGTGTATCCCAGTGCTTCCTGCCTGGCAGCATTGTTGCTGTGTGCCCACGGCTTTCCCTTTCTTGCATGTTGAAAGCAAGTGGGGGCTTGTGAATGAGTGTCTTTATGTAATAGCAAGACAGATGATTCAATGATAGTTGCATCCTCACTTGAGACAGCAATCAGTACAGTCAGAAATTAGGCAGAAGTAAGAGATCAGCAACCTGTTATCAATTCACTAGCACTCTCATTTTTGGGTACCAGCCAGACTTGGCATTAGATGCAGGTATGGGCCCTTTCCTTCCCACTTGTCCGCCAGATGACTTGCCCTTTGGCCAGCTTCATTAAGTGCTCCACATCTGTCTGACCTGGAACCCTGGACAGTTGTCTTGGTTTCTCCCCAGAAAACAGTACCTGCCGCCAGCATTATTACTAACCTTTGTTTCATTATGCTGCTTCTGGCTGTAAATGTTGTTTTTAGCAACATAAGGATTATTAGATCCTTACTGAAAGAGCAAGGAAGAAATGAATCAGAAATATGGAGCTTTGATTAATTTATGGGAAGTAGAAAACTAGTCACTTTCAAAAAAATTTAATAAATCAGACATTGGACTTGACATAGAAAAAGAATTATCTATTGACTAATTATATTCTGTCAACGTGATTTTTTTTTTTTACTTTGTCATCCATACAATCACTACCACATATTGCCCCGCTCCTTTGGTATATCTTTTTGTTTTCTCTGTCTTGATTTATATGATAAACACAGAAGGCCAAAAATTTTTTTTTTTTTTTTCCAAAAATAACAAGTGAACTTGGATGTGTTGGAATTTTTGTGCCCAGCCTGAGACACTCACCTTTTTCACAAGGTGAATCCTCTGTATCCTCAGTAATGGGGCATGATGCATGTGCTTCCAGCAGAATGCACAAAGTATCACTACCTTCTGAAAATGTTAGCTGTACCATACTGAAAATGTTGTGCCGAATGATTACTGGGCCAATCTCATGGTTCATGTGTTGGCTTACTGCAGACTGTAAGCCAGCAGCCTACAACCCCATCCTCTCAACCATCCTTCCAACATCGTTATAAACCTTCTTTTCTTCTCCCCAAATTAATGTCACTATACATCTCCCATGTAGGCTAGAGAGAACCTGCAAGCAAAATATCTTCGGGGAGAAAGCAAAACAAGTTTGTCTTTTGGGAGTCTGTGTTATACTGCGATATCTGATCACGAGTTTCACCATATTCTTGCACTTCTTTTCTGGCAGCTCAGCAAATTTGTATCTTCCGAAATTCAGTCTTTATGGGACTTATAACCTAAAAGATATATTATATAAAATGGGCATTATGGATTTATTCACTGATAAGGCTGACCTGTCTGGGATCACTGGGCAGCCCCAGCACAGAATCTCCCAGGTAAGTCATACTGCTTTTTGTTTTATGGGCCCATGGTTACTGATCCTTACATCATTTTCTGTACAACTATTCATAATGCAAAACTCATGTAAAGAGTCTTTGTTTCACATGAAAAGGCAGCTGTTGGCATATGGAATATTTTGCCCATGGTACTTGTGCTGTCAGTGCAATTGAGTTGGAGCAGGTTGCAAGTCTGTTATTTTTTAATTGAGGAGGCCTTTTTGATCTGCATGGGAAAACCTTATAAAACAATGACAAATCATCATCTATCCGCAGCTTGGTACCCTCCTGAAGCATGTTGCTACAGTCATTACATTGCTGCTTCTGTTTATATCTGCCCTCTTTAGCCAGCCTGTGGGCAAGTAGGGAGCTGTAAGATGTATCACTGCTGGTGTTTTATGGAGCGGGGAGGAAAAACACTTGCTTTGGAACTGTTTAAGGGAAAGGAAAATGCAGTTATGGAAAATATTTGACCTCAAGCCTATAAGCAATGGCTCTCATTAGTGCCAGGACCAGGTAAAAGATACAGATAAGTCATACTTCAATAAACCTAGAGTTTAAAGCTGACAATCAGTGCAAATTTCATTGTCTAATATGAACAAAACAGCTTCCTGCATGACCTCAGCTGGAAGTTAGTGAATTAGGGTCTGTGAATGTTGATTTTGCAAGGTGAAACTTAGATGGTTCGCTGCCCCAGCCCTCCATTTCTGGCCCTTCTCCTTTGTTCCCATTTTTTCCAAGACACTAAGGAACACAGGAAACATAATTTCAGGATGCCATTCACTGTGCTAATCTGCATGTTAATTCTTCAAGTAGATGAACTTTTAACAGACAGTTAAATGATATCTTGCTCTCTTAACCTTTAGTCTGACCCACATATCTGCATAAGTGGGAGCAGGAAACAAGAGAAGAAACAAAGCGAATGTTTTCATTTGCAGGGACGTGTCCACTGGGGATGAACTTTTCCTCTCTGGGGCTAGGGAAGCCATGCTGTGTGTAGCTCTTGCTGATTTATTTTCCAACTTTGCTGTCTTTGTGCAGTGGACTCACACCTGTCCTTCTGATGCTTGTTTCTCAGCAATAACTTCTTCAGGCACTTTTAGCTCAAGTTATTATTTAGGTGACTAGTTTTGTACCTCCTTGACTAGTAACATGTCTGTTTCTTCACAGGCCATTCATAAGGCTGTGGTAAAGGTGGATGAGACTGGCACTGAAGCAGCAGCTGCCACAGGCATGGAAATAGTGCCTATGTCCGTTCCAGTTACCATTACATTCAACAGACCCTTCATAATGGTCATAACTATGCACAACAACATACTCTTCATGGGAAAAATTGTGAACCCTCTGAAAAAAGATTAAGTTGATGTACATACTAGGTATGCAGCGATCCCCGCTGTTAAACCAAGTGTTTGACCTGCTGAGCATGGCATTGCTACAAAGGGCTCTCCACATCTTAACTGATGTTATTCACTGTTTTTTGTAGATGAGACTCTTCATCAATTTAAGTTGTCATAGTTGCATGATTGTTTGGGCCTTGTTTGTTTTTGGTTTTGTTGTTGTTGTTGTTTTTTAAGGAGGTTGCATTCAGGCAGAATTGTCATTAGATCTGGGACAAAATACGCCTGCGTGATGCTGACAGCATAGATACATCTTTAGCAGGGAAGATGAGGAGTATGTGGGTGGAGAGGGATGTGTAAGCTTGCTTCTTCTCTCATGGCTGCCCTCTCACCTTTTTTTGTGTGTTAACGGACAAATGGGTACAAGTTACAGAACTTTACCTCTTGTGTCCATTTTCCTACCAACATGAAGTTCATATCTAGCATAGATCTTAACATGCATATTGCTTACTACCTTGCATAGTACCATTGTTGTCCAGTGAGTCTGTTACACCCTCGCCTTTCAGCTGTCGTCCCAGCTAGGCTGCTGCAAAGGGGTCACAAAGAAGGTGTGTTTTTCTCCTGCAGATATATACTGGGCTGTTCACTGTTTCTGTGAGAGTTTACAGTCCAGACTCATTCCAGGGCAAACGTTAGATGGTCTAAGAATTTGGTCTAAGAAAAAAGATGTAGATCAGATTTCTGCAGTTCAGTAACCTGGAGCAGACCTTTGTCAATCAGATATACATTCAGAGCAGCCAGAAGACTAATTCTAGCCCATGCCTGCACCTAAACCAGCTTCTAGAAGCCCCAAGCAGCAGAAAATGCAACCCTGGTGCCAGTGCCTGTACCATCACTGTCCGGCCCTGGGAGATTACCCATGGTAGTGAGCACCACTCCAGTATTGTTTGTAGGATCAAGCACCCTATCGGTAACCTCATCAGTGACACTTACCGTGTCTTTTGACAGAACCCCTTCTGTTCCCAGACTGTCCAGTAATACAACATTGGTACTGTATTTCTCATCCGCTTCATGGTTAGTATAGCCACAATATTAGAAAGGTCTGTTTTCACTATTAAAATACACAATACTAAAAGTCACATTCATAATGCACACGCTTATTTATTTTTCTTGTTTACTTTCCTGCCTATTTTTTTCTTCTATTTTTCACAATATATATCATTATTTTTTTTCTTTGCTCATGTTCATGGTATGTATCTGATCTCTGGTTGCAGGAGGGGTAAATTATTCACTAAAACGGGTTAGTCTGTTAATAGGTATTAAGCATTAACATCAGTCTTTGTACAGCCTTGAAATATGCAGACAAATGTACTAGAGTAGAAGAAAATCGATGAATAAACATGACATAAAAATGTTTCTAATTTTGCTATTTTATTTCTCTAATTCAGAATTAAGAATTAAGTATTGTTCATGCAGGTTTTTTTGACTGGTGTCAACAAACATTTATTAATATACTGTTCATATACATTAGATCAGCATGGTAATGCCAGTAAAGAGCTTCAGAAAGCCCTTTGCCTTAGCAGTAAATCCCTGTTCAGCACAAAGTAGGTTATCTCCGTCAGAAGGAGAACTTTTTGGGAAGGGGGCATTTCTTTGATGCAGAGATGTTTATTTCAAAGGCTATAGACAGCTTGCTGCTTCTACTCTATCAAGTGTGTAGCTTTGTGTGTGTTCTCATCTTCTAAAAAGCTCTCTCTTGACACCCTCTAATAGCTGTATTAGTAGTCTTGGCATGCATTTTGACCTTTGGTTCCTGTTATTCCCTAAACAAAATACAGGCCATCTAGTTCATACATTTTTTAATAGATTATGACAGGAAAACAAGAAAAGTGCTTAGAAGCTATCAGCTTTTTGTAGAGGAACACACTTCCAAATTAAAATCACAGTGAAGAAATACTCATCTGTGTGGCATTCAAATCAAGCAATAAGGATGAATACATTTAGTATTTCCCAAACTGAAAACTAGAAGTACTCAATTTGTTTTCATTTATTGTTGACTACATCACTGGATCCACAGCAAACCTTGTCAGAGGGTAGTTTTCTACAGGTTCTTACAGATCTTTGTAATTTATATTTATCTAGAGGCACTGCATAGCTTGCTAGGTCACAAACAGTTTCCTGACATAAGCAGATCTTCCAGCTTGCTTTCCCGTAAAAATATACAGCAATGCATTTGGATGTAAATCCAAAAAGCCTAACTTATAAAGAAAAAAAAATTGGCATATTTACACAGCAAAGTAAATTAGAACAATGAGGACAAAATTCAGAAAATGGAAGTCATGATCAAGTCAGGGAACATCTCTCATCAAAAATAACAACCCCACATTAAATCTAAAACTGTAATAAGAAAGGACAAGGATGACTTTGAGAAAAAAGCACTTGCAGAAGTCATAGCATATAAGATATTCTTTTTCAAAGACATCAGAAACCTGCTGGAGAGCTTGAGGGGTCAATAGCTGTTCAAAATATAAAGGAAGTGCTCAACATGGGTGCTGGCAAAATAGAATAGCTCAATGCAATGGTTGAGCCTGAGCAACTGTTTCAAGTTGAAACAGCAACAGAAAAGTTTTTAAGAAAAATAATCAAAGAGCAAGTAACAACAAATTGCCAGGACTGTTCAGTATGCATGCAAGAGCTCCTAGCTCTCTTGAGAAGAAAAATGTTAAGCTTTCCACTCTGATGCGTCACTTAGACTGGTCTCTGTACCAGAGTACTAAGAAGTGACAAACATGACTAAGTTTTTCGAAAAAAATTAGCTTTTTAAAAAAGATGCAGATAAGCATGAAGTGAATTGCAGAACAGTTAGTCCAACTTTGGAATACTAGAAACTGTAGAATTTGTACTTGTATGGATAAATATGACAAAATAACTGACACATTTTTCACAGAATCATAGAACAGTTAGGTTGGAAAAGACCTTTCAGATCTCCAAGTCCAAGCGTTAACCTAACACTGCCAAGTTCACCCCTAAGCTGTGTCCCTGAGTGCCACATCTACATGCCTTTTAAATATCTCCAGGGATGGTCACTTAACCACTTCCCTGGGCAACTTGTTCCAATGCTTGATAACCCTTTCAGTGAAGAAATTTTTCCTAATATCCAATCTAAACCTCCTCTGGTGCAACTTGAGGCCATTTCCTCTTGTCCTATCACTTGTTACTTGGGAAAAGAGACCAACCCCCACCTCACTACAACCTCCTTTCAAGTAGCTGTAAAGAGCAGCAAGGTCTCCCCTCAGCCTCCTCTTCTCCAGGCTAAACAATCCCAGTTCCCTCAACCATTCCTCATAGGACTTCTGCTCTAGACCCTTCACCAGCTTCATTGCCCTTCTCTGGACACGCTCCAGCACCTCAGTGTCTTTCTTGTAGTGAGGGGCCAAAACCGCACACAGCATTTGAGGTGCAGCCTCACCAGTGCCGAGTACAGGGTCACGATCACTTCCCTACTCCTTCTGGCCACATTATTGCTGATACAGGCCAGGATGCTGTTGGCCTTCTTGGCCACCTGAGCACACTGCTGGCTCATGTTCATCTGGCTGTTGACCAGCACCCCCAGGTCCTTTCCCCCCAGGCAACTTTCCAGCCACTCTCGCATGAGGTTGTTGT